TGAACCATTAGGGACAGTTTCTAACTGATTGTTTTCATTATCTAAAAGGGGCTCATGGATTTTGGATAATTTTGTGATTGATCCACGGAGAGAGTATTAAATCCTTTCCAATGTCATAAAAGAGAGAACATTCCTTATCCATTGGGAGTAAGAGGGGGCTCAGGAATTCTTCTAGCATAATATAAGTGCTCATTTTGCCAGTAGCAAGAAAGGCCTCAAGCTTAGTTTAGTTAGATCGTAGTGAGTGTCCAGGGGCAAGGGCCCCAAACAGGGCAGCAGAAGGTAATAGACAGATGCTTTCAGATTTAAAGGCTGTGAGACAGAGTCAAGTACAACTTTCAAAACAATGTAAGGACAGGACAATGTGAGTTTATTTGCATGTAATCGTATTGAAGCTCACATCAGTGCCAGGATTAATAAGTGTTTCAAACAAACTGAGAGATTGTAAAATGTATCCCTCCATCATGATATAGGGCTTAGAAAGACCTATGTCTGCAAGTTTGGGTCAGTTTGGTAATCAAAAGGGGAAATTGTTTGTAACAAATCTCAGTACAATATTTTAGATGTTTGAGAAATGTATTAAATAGATATTTGGAGAGGGGCTAAGCTGTAGCAGAGACATCACTGGATATTTTGGTAAATTTAAAGTGTAAGCTGAGATGTTTCCAGTCCTTCAGGTTTAATATACAGGGATCAGAGAAAAGGGGCAGAAGGTTATTGGTGTATAAATGCCCAGGATTTAACTGGAGCGAATGTATTTGATTCACTTGAAGAAGCAATCATCCCAAAAAAACAAAAAAGCAAGAATTGAAAAGTGTTTTCAAAAGAAACTACCTCCATGCATTTTTCCTCGAAGGAATGACAGTTAGTTTACAGCGTGCAACTCATTTTCATCGAAAACTACATTTCTGTTATGACTATTACTATTATTTTCATACTTGCATCCCACTCAGCAACTTTCATTAAACAGTTTGTGCAGTTTGCTTTCACTTCACCTGACCGAATACTCAGCAGAAATTTATGATGAAGTGGAACGAAAACCTCAAAAAATGCTCCCCACACAGAGTGGTCCCCACTCAGTTTCTTTGTTTTCCCCCACTTTCTAACTCTTTAAACAATCTCTCTGAGATATGGCTTGGCTAAATCTTTATGAGATATTCAATAAATACTAAGAAGTTGTAACATAAACACCATTTTGACATCCATGCTTTATCACTTTAAGAGGAGCAAAAGAATAAAATACTCAACGTCTGTAGTACTGGAGAATGCATTGTGTGTTCAGTATAGACTGTAATAAATCTTTATCTATTGAAAGCAGGAATGCCAGTATCTTCTATCAATATGTTAAGTGTAATTCAACAGAATGCCGGATTTACAAGTGTTGTCTATTTCACACCTTTTTCTTTTTCTTCCTTTGTGACTTAAATAGTCTTATCACTTTCTTTTTTGTGCACCTTTTTCTTAAGTGAATGTTAGTGCCCCTACCCATAAAACTCCACATGCCTCTGCAGTCCTGAGTTTTGGAGGAATGCGTGCACCATTGGGGTTGCTGCGTGGACACACATAACACACTGGAAGGGGGGGAGGAAAAAAAGAAAGAGCTTTTTCAGCAGTCAAGTTTTGCTAGACTTATTTTGTCCATGTTTGGAGAGAGGAAATGAGCGTGTTGTGCTATGGGAACGTCTCAGAGCTCCCCACACCAACACAGACAGAGAGGTAGACTAAAAGATTGGCTAAAAATAGACGCTGGAGGCCAGGTCAGCTTTGGGAGGAGAGTAAAGAACTGGGGAGCGAAGAGGGGAATGGAAAAACTAAATGATGTAAAATTAAGAGAGTCATTTTATTAAGAAGTACATATACTGTGGTAATTCTTAGATAATAACATAATCAATTCTGAAATAGCACATTTTACATATTTACTATCGGGAAGTTTGGTGGAACCACTTGAGATTTGTGTGTCTTGTCAGGAAGAGGCAGACAAAAGGGAAAAAAGAAACAGTTTGTTGATGAAACTCATGGGCCGTGAATCCCGGTGATAGCTCCTAATCTTACCTCTGTTTTCTCATAGCTTTTTCTTCATACTCTCTTTATCATCTTACAACAGAGTGCATTTCAGAAATCACTTATCTCTGCTGCTAACAGCAATGGAACAAAGATATGATGTATGAGTTCACTCACGCTTTTTGTCAAGGGCAGAAGATTCGAGTCGGGGGAAACCAAAAATGACAACATTTCTGTAATTTGGGAAAAAGGTTATTCACTGGTAGACATTTGAAAGTATGGGAAATGGACATACAAATACTATGGGGTTGTAATCACAGAGGCATGTAAAAGGAACACATGCACAAAAGAAAGAATGTGAGGTTATTAGCTCTGTCCCCAATGTTTATCCTTGTAGGATTACTTCTGTCTTTATGTGTCACATAATAAAACAGAATCGTTTTCCTCGAATAGCTCAAGAAAACTATATGAAAGTAGAAAAAGAATCTCCCAAGGTTTTTTTTAGAAATTACAATACAAGAGAAGTATTTCCTGTGCATTGCCACACTGAAACGGTTCAGAATGCAGCCTGGTGCAGTGGAATTCCTGGATAAGTGAAGACAAGGCCTTTTCCAGCATAGCCAGCCGTCTGGTTCTGTTGTGTTAATCTCTAAATGGTAGCGTGTAGTGTGTTTGGGGGTATTAAAATGGTTTGGGAGTCCCAAAACAAAACATTCTTATTGTTACTGACTCAGGAATCCAGTGCACCGTGTATGCATCTGTCTTAGTGTGGGCGCTTTTCTGTCATTCTAAACTGCGTGGGTGCTTTCAAACACTTTTTTTTCATGCCTGGTTCATACTGTCTTGTTTTTGGAATGGCGTAGAGATTTTTAATCTCTCGCATGTATTACTTTAAAAAAAAGTTTCAGATTATGACATCATTGCCTTTTCTTTTTCACACCCTTCAGTACCCTAATGGTGGCCTCTTTCCCTACTTCTCTCCTCTTCTCTGTGAAGTCATAGCTGGCAGGGTTTGAAGGTGGGCTGGAGTAGAGACACACGAGAGTCTGTTTTTCCCATCTGCTGCATTCTGTGTGGGGAGGTCTTTCTGCTCTGTTAGTGAGGGGAAACTTTTACAACCTCTGAAGCTGCTTATGCAACTACAGCATTTACAGTAACAATAAGAGTTGTGCGTTTAACAAAGTTGACTTTGGTTTATTGTGTACCACAGCTACTGGGGTGTGCAAAGTTTTGCAGACAAAAACTACTGTGGTCTAAGGCATTTTTATATGATGGGAAAACTGCATGCACGTCTTTCGTGTATAATAGTAATATTAAAAGGGCAAAAATAAACAAAGAATATCAACAAGCTACTCATTTAAGACTAAGCTAGTTCCTTATTTAAATTGTACAGAAATGATTAAGCAAGCATTTGGACTGGCAATGTTTTTATGCATCTCAAATGTAAATTCATTAGATTGAATTTAATTGAATTGAATATACTTTATTGATCTCCAGGGAGAAATTGACTCAATAAATCAATAACATCAATGATAGTAATATGGATTGGTAGCTATTCATTAACAGTCCTACTGTTGATGATTTTTAAAAAGTCATTGCTTTTCACTAAAACCATTTACCTCGGTCAGAAAAAAGTCCTTCAAAGATGACTAGTACCATGTACCCTCATGTGCAAACCTGTTCCTTCTGGGTGAAGAATTTGCACTTGCAATTAGGACTAATATACATGGTGACCTTTGCTTATGAATTTTAACCTTTAGGAATATTTGTGGACCAAAGATCAACATTTATGTGCTTAGACCTGAGATTTTAACTAGAAGTACTCTGGAATTGCTTATTTTTCTACCGCTCTCAGTTTTTTAGTTCTGATAAATCCTTCGGTCTTCACATTTTAAAAGACAAATATGAACTGTCTGATTCAAGCTGTTTAATGTGCTGACACCCTTATCGACACATTAAAAACTAAATACACAGTCTCCTCACATACTTGAAAATGGTCTGCCTTGCTGAATAGTGCAAACTGTCCCCGGCATATTCACACACTGCCTGGCTTTTAGTGTGCTTTGTTGTTCAGGGAGAAAGAGCAAAGACAAACTTGTTGCATGTGGGAAAAATAACAATTCAGAGATGCTTACTGAGCTAGCTTTACTTGTCTTCAGCTGTATGTTTAACAGATGTCATGTTCTGTTTTGTGTAGTCAGCCAAAATGTTTTAAATTGATGCTTCTTGTGTCCATAGTTTTAGCACACAAGCACTCACACAAACACAGGCCGTTCACCTTTAGCCTATTGTAATGGCTGCTCATGTTATTGACACAGTTCAGCAAAGAAAGATTTACACATACCCACCTTCAGCGGCATGCGTGTACTTCCACTCAGCCACAGACGTACGAGCAAAGCAGAATACGGATTTTCACAATCCCGCCTTGTTTTTGACCATCTCACAAAGTTGCTTTCTCTCACTAGTACATTTTGACTGTGCAATGGAGTTGTAGCTCTGTGGTCTCATGAAAACACATCGTGAGTTGTTGAGTTGTCACGGTGACAGTCGACTGATTTAAGGGTGTGGTGGAGGACAGGTTTTCACCTGCAAAATGTCAAAAACTTAATAGCTCTGAGCGGCACTAGTTAAGCCTTCAGTAGCCATCCATGAGTTATTTTAACACCATGGAAGCTGCTGAATGTGTTGCAGTTTACTTTCCTGTTTTAGACCTGCACTATAAAAGCATTAGAAAACAAGAGGAGGAAGGAAGATAAACAGGACAAAAGAGAAATAGTTCAAATGATGCCTCACACCGCAGTGCAGGAAGCTTGCCGTGTTTTGATCATAAACCTGGTACATGCAGTGGAACTTCTGCTCATGCTTGAGTGTATCACTATAGGTTTCTTGCATAAAAGGTCGAACACATGAAATAACCAACTCCATTAATTTTTTATTTCATGATTAGAGATGTGTCTGTTATATCTATATCTCATCTGTGTGTATCTGTTTGTTCCCAGGGCATTATTTACATATGAAGGGGTCTCCAACAAGCTGAAACTGGCTGACTCTGGAGGTATTGTTGACTATCATGCTTGTCATAAAATAACATTTTAAATACAGAATTTCACAAATATATGACGATGACAATAAAGTATAATCATCATCATCATCATCATCATCATCATATCAGTATCAGTATCAATAGCTTTTCTCCTTGACTTGATCCCTTGTGTCCAGAAATGTTGAAATATTTTAACAGTTTAGTAAAACAAATGCATCTGCATTGCTCATCAATTTTCTACTCTGTCCGATTACTTTTTCAACAGCGGGTGGTGTGGTTGAGCTGGCAGGGAAGTTTCACATCTCTAAACCTCAGTATGGACTCTGCAAAGTGACAAGTGCAGAGGGAGGAGCCCCTGGGATTGCTATGATCGTCTGGGTGAGTGGTACATAGGCTCAAGGTGTTCAGAGCTGCCTACTATATAATTAAACATCACTATAATGAACCAAGCACACAGGCATACTTTGCTAACTCATAATGTAGGAGAAGAGCAGGAACACACACGGGGGCACTCGCAGACTTGTATTCAATTTCATCCATATCCAAGAGTGAATCAAACATGTTTAATGTTATGTTGTCACTCTAAACAAACTGTTTGAATATCTGGAGAAAACAACCGACGTATTGGCAAATTCTATGCTCCCGTTAAAGCAGAAACCCCAGCTAATTCTTCATGCAAGTAACCCAAAACCATAAAATGCCCGTCATCAGGTGTCACCTGAGTTTCGAGTTTTAGTGAGTTTTGATTCAGTTAGATATTTTGTAGATTGATTCATTCATATTGTGATCCCTGAACAAGGCTAGTTTGGCTCTTTTTGCACAGCAAAAACAGGCTTTGCCCTAACATACATTCTTTACATGGCAATCGTGTGGGCTTTAATAGCATTGTTCCATTAGTGCTTAGTTAGCCCTACACAGTTCGGCCCAGAACAGCTCTGAACGGTACAAATTACGGCCATACAGAATGACGGACCGATTTGCACATGACGTCATTCATACACGACACAAACACAAGCCACTAATCAAATATATTATGGCAACTTTAAACTGACTAAACTGCAATGTTGGAACACAGTGTTACTAGTTACAGAAATACTGAAGGTTTGCCGTTGCCCCGTTTTTACTGTTTCTAGGGGCCAGCCCCTAGTGGAAATGCAAAAATACAGCTGTGCCGTGCTGTGCTGAGTAGGCACCAGTGGAATTGTGCCATATCCGATTGCACACGTGTGCTTTAACACCACCAACTGTAAGAGTAACGCTATCAATTCTCTTTAGAATTTTACATTTTAATTTGCCAGGATGGTTTGTCCTGGAAAAACTAGGACATATATTAAAACTAGGTGTTGACAATGATTTAACAAAAAATCCCAAACACATCCATGACCTCACATTCAAGGAGACCAAAGAACATAAATGTTAGCTTTATAAAACTGCCTGATGACAGCTGGATTCCTATTGTCCCTCAGCCTTGTTTTTCTAGTCTTTTTTTAGACAGAGTAAGAATATGACTGTAAGTGTATACATCCTGTGCTTATCTGCAGGTTGGTGAAAAGGTGGATGACCATCGAAGGACAGAATGCGCCAGCCACCTTCCAGCTGTCAAACATTTCTTCAAGGTTTGGTTCACCGAAAAACGATTCACTACATATTGTTGACTTTTAGATTTGATATGTTGTGAGGCACGTTTTCATCCTGCATTCTTTCTCTTTGTTTAGTTGCACTGCTGAACCTTTCTGTAACACATAAAATACAAATATTCAAAACTCTTACTTATTTATTTTTTTCTGTTTCTGCTCTTAACCTTTTTTTTTCTTTGCTGGTCCACATCTTCTTTTCAAACTCTATATTTATACCCAGTAGTTTATTTAGTATTGTTTTCTGAGCTTCCTGTTTTCAAGCCCCTTCCTCTTCCATTGCTGGTCCTATCTATGTCTGTCGGCCTTTACTGGGGGGTGGGGCTTGATTTTCCCTGAGCAGAATGTCATGAGAACCTCATGTGGTGTCTTTTTTGTGAAATCAAATCTGAAACTATATTTTATCATGTTAGCTGTTAGTTTTCAAGCGGCCATCTGTTTTCCTAAAACTCTTTTGTGTTAGAGTGCCCCCTAGTTTTATGGGTTTCCATGTAAACGCATCATCCCATCAACAGTGGAATGTTTGGTGTTTTTTTGTCCTTGTTTTTAAAACTACCAATGTCTGGGATTTTGCAAGCCAGTATCTGAAAACCCTCCAAACCCCCTGTGAGGCAGTACGTGGGAGACATCACGAAATTGATATTCAGTTGGGATATTGAGACTTTAGACAAAATGATTAGATGGTGGACCTAGGAGAGATTGGGATGACCCCCCACCCCTTCTTTGAACTTTGGGAGAAATGTGACCTCTAACCTTAGCAAACACGCAAGTAACAGCTGGACCTATGTCACAACAACAGCAATAAAATGTGGCCACTGCTGTAAATTTTAACTTGCCCTGTCATGAAGTCTAAAAGGGCACAGAGGCAACAGCATTGTTGCTACTGCAGTAATTATCTGAGCTTAAACTGTAAGAAAGTATATTTCTCCATTATCCAGCTGTTTAAACCTGGATGTATTAGTCAAACCAGATTCAATCTTTTTACAGAAAAACATCGCAGTCACACATATGGAATCTATTTGGAGGAAAGGTGACATAGAAACTGGGACTGTGCTTATGCTAGACATCGTAAAAGATTGCATCAGGTTTGCGTTTGGCAATTATCTCGGTAGGTGTACGAGTGTTAGAAAATTTAGTCTTTGCTCAATTTTTGTTTCAATTAGTTAATAGCATGATTTCATAGATATCAAACAGGGTGAAGAATTCAATAATAACTGATTTCTAATGTAGTGTTTTAGAGCTAATTGTCTCAAGGATACCAGACAATCAAAATGTATCCCGTGCTCCACACACTGATTATAGACTTGTAATCAATCTATCAGAAAATTCATTGACCTATTATGGGGTTGGGAATACTTTGTAGTTGTCTTTATATGACATCGATAGTTCAGTCTAATATGTGATTTTTTTTTTTTTTGTGCTTGTTTTTCTTCCCCCTGTCCTGGGCAGCATCCTAGTGCTCTGGCTGCAGTAATTACGCCAAACGCATCTGCTCTACTAAGGGAGGATTTCTACCAAAAAAGCTTCCCTCGATGCTCATCCTTTTGTGTTTTATTCATTGCCATTAAGGTTTTGTCTAAATTCTGATGCTAAACTAGACAGAGGGGAGAGAGGAGGAGGGAAAGCATGACAAATAATTTAAAAAAGGAAACAGGACTACAAAGGAGATGTATAGTATATGGATAAGAACAACAAAAACAGACTAGAAATGCAGACACTTAAGAGCTGGATCTGCAGGAAATCATTTCCTTTGGTAAATTTCTGGCCTTTGCAAACCTTTTGTGTACACAATGTGCTGTTTAAGACACACGTGTGCCTCTCTAAAATATATGCATCTGGATCCATCCCTCCATCAGGTGTTAGCAGAACTGATTCCAAGTCAGCACATATCCCTTTTTGCACTGATTGCTCAAATAGCAGTGCTCCAACATTGTAAAATGATCTTTCTTCAAAACAGCGTTGAAGGATTTTTCCTAAAAAGATATGACTCGTGGCTAAATTCCTACTTGACTTAAATTGGGATATAGAAACCAAAATCAGAAACATACACAGAGATTGCTGATAATATCTGGCATTGACGCTTTCCCAAAAATCTTCCCAGGTTTTGTTGTTCTGCGTTGCACTTTTTTGTCCGTGTCCTCTTTTCTTCTTGTTTCCTCTGTGTTTTTACAGATAACTATGCTGCATGTCTCAGCTGGCCACGGAAGGTTTTCTCAGGGCGAGCCCTCAGTGGCTATTATGTATGCGGAGGTTGAAAGATACACAAATGCAGATATAAAAAAAAGGAAATTAGTGCTTGATGTTGTTTGATGCTAAAAAGTTACAAGTTTGTTTTAAGTCATTTTTTTCAAAAAAACCTGAGGTGGAGCAGGAAATATGAGAAATATGATATGAAGCAACATGTTCAGGTCAACGCAGCAAACCCAAAGGCACTGTAGCTCATTTATCTGTCATCAAGATTTGAAGCGAGCTCAAAAACTGATGCCTTATTCGGATTACTTGTCAGTGCTTTTATCTTGGTGTTGCTGTTGCTGTTTCTGTTGTAATAAGATCTAATGACAGCTCTAAACGTCATTGCAGTTGAGAGGTGTTATATCAGTGTAACATATTCACTCTTTTTTCATTTAAAGTAAAGACAACAGTAATGCAGAGGCGAATAAAAACAACGCTCTTTAATTCTAGCGATGACATTTATCATAAGTAACCCACATGCTGTCTGGGACAACTTTTAACTGGGTAAACTGAGTTTCTCGACAACTCGTACTGCTTCCTACTCTGAACATCTCCCAAGCGAAAGGTAGACTGTGGAACAGTTTGGCTCCATAGCAGAGAGACAGTTTGTGTGGAGTTGAGCCCAATTAAAGCTTAAATCTTGTCACATCACCTTGGGCTCCTTCTCTTCTCAGACAGGTTATATTCCCATACCAGGAGTAAGTTCTCATTGCCACAGGTCATCAATGCCACAAATCCTTAAAAGTTTACTTCACATGCAACATTCCACTTCATCCTATTTTGAGATTCTCCCCTGAAAATATCCACAGCATGCATGGTGCTTTCCTCTAAGTGGAGCAGTTTGCAAAGCTATACCATGGACCTCATGGAGGTTTGAGTGCCAGACTGGTTGGCAGTCATTTATTTGACAAGATTTTAATCAGAGTGAACCTTTTTTGTGTTATTTTTTTTCTTGTCGACTTACCTCTATGCGCTTACATTTCTCACTTATAAAAACAATTTGGCTGAAAATGGATGATTGGATTAGGTATGGGTCTATATTTTAAAGGTATGATTTACATTTACCGCAGGGTCTCGCCTTATGGCGTTTCTCTTTACATGGTCTCACTCTACAGTGGGTTTTTAAAAAGTACATATCTAATTTTAAGTCGTAGATGTTTTCGCTATATCACAATTTCTTTTATTTTTGTGTGAAAAGGCATTATCTATCCCAAAAAAATAGACAATAATATAGAATGTTACAGGAGGATAATTGAAATATATTGAAAGAACATTAAATAGAAAGCTTACAGCAGATGAGACAAAGGATCGCACATGTAGAGGATGAAGCTCTGGACGTTTCTGTTTCTGTTTCTGTAGCTAATTTGTCCACGTGAGATTGTACAGCATGCTATTGTCTGAGAGATAGGAGGCGACCAACAAGCTGTGAGGCGGTTCATGAAGCCTTAATATATGTGCGATAGACGATGGACCGCTGGATATACATGTTTTGGTTTGATGTAAAGATGATCAACTACAAATCACTTACATTTTTGTTATAATTCTGAAGGTTTGAACCTTCAGTCATCAAACACATGTCCATCTATCCATCCATTATTATTCCCTAAAGGAAAATATTTCCCGGACACACAAAGAAAAACAACCATGCACACTCACTCCTAAGGACTGTTTGGAATGTCCAATCAAGCTAACATGCAGGTTTTTGGACAAAAGGAGGAAGCCAGTGAACCTGGAGAGAACCCACGCAGACACAGGGAGAACTCCACACAGAAAGGTCCTGGTTCCCCACAGGACTTGAACCCAGAACCCACTTGCTGTGAGGCAATGGTGCTAAACACCACACCCCTGTGCTGCCCGCTAGACTATCACACAAAATTTCATTTCAGATTGCTTTACCTATTTTCTAAATTTCTTGAGTTTGATACACCAATTGATTCTGCTTTCTTTCAAATTTCTGAACCCACATACTGTCCCCGTACAATTCGATACAAAAAAACTGTTCGGGAGAACAGTGTTTTTTTTAGATTATTTTTTAACGTTTTATTTTCCACGTACTTGTCTTGCTTTTTTCCCTGTTTCTCACAGTTCTTGTTTTTGTTTTTGAACATGGTGCTGGAATTGTACAATAATATGTCTGCTTTATTTGTGTGCTTATCAGTCCTATATGGTGACCTCTGTACAGTCAGTGTTTGAGATATTCTGAATATTTAGCCTAGTATGAGTGATGAGTATCCTTGCCATTCTTGGATGACATGTAGTTTGTCCTGGTTACACTGTAGAATGCTTGCCTGGAGCCTGGGCCGACTCTGCTGCTGGCAGTGACAGTAGATTGACATGGATTGTGTACTGTACTGATATGTATTAAAACGCACTCTGAATGTTCTGCTAACACACTGTCAGTGTGTCCCCGTTGCCGCGCAGATAAAGCTGTGGTTTCCTGTTGGAAGCAGGCAGACCTGGCCCTTCATCAACAAGTCTGAAATGACTCTCTAAGGATAATAATTCTACAGCCCAGGCCTCAAACAAATGTCTGCATACATACGCAGACTTGGGTTAAGCATAGAGGGGTTAAAAGGCTGCCTTTACTGAGGCACATGGAGGAACTCTGATTTTTCACGTTGCCCGTAGTCCCTCCTTTACTTTTTCCATGTCTCCCACTTTGCTTCCCATAATCATCCAAACTGATACATTCCTCTTCCCACACTAAGGCCCTTTCTTTTCCCCTTTTTTTTTGCTCTCCTGACAATTGAAGCAGTTGCACAACTGATTGGCAAGTAGTTTCCCACTTTTCCATCAGAGCAAAAGAAATCCGTTTAAGAGACCATGTGCACGGACTCTTTGTGTGCATGCAAACAGATAGAGGAAGGGAGTGTGGGGAGATTTAATCCACATCTGTTTTACCTTCATTTGTCTTTTTTGTTTCCTGTCTTCTGTGTTTCAGGAAGTGCATGCTTTTATTACTGCAGAGAAGGTAGAGGATGTGACAGAGGAACAGTTAAAAGCTGAGTTCAGCAAAGTCCAAGCTCATGCTCCGTCACAGTGGGTGAGAAGGAGCTCTCGGTCCGCAAACAAGGAGGAGGTTGTGGTGAGTCTTCTGCAGAACCACATTTGTCCATTAGATGGTGACAGAGACTGTTATTTACACATGGTAACAGTTTTCATAGTATGAGGATACGAGGAGCATAAGTAACAACAGTACATTGTACGTATCTATTCATTATCTGTTAATAATTTCATTTATCTTCTATAGGGTACAAACTATAGAAAAACTAATGCTGCAATGGAGATGAGACTTATAAACAGAGACTCCTTCTGGGCACGTGCAGAGGTATGTCACAGTAATCATGACGGAATATGTACTCCTATTAAGTCCATAACAAACTAAGGCTTAGTTTAAGAAAATATGCCTTTTAAAATATGAGGGGCTTTCAAGAAGGAAAGACCGTTCTCCAGAAAACTTCAGTCTCTAAAGTAACTATAAATGTGAAATATCATTCAATGGAAACATTTGACTTTTTCACATTCCTTCAAATAATTGTTATTGTGTTATTGTTAAGAAACAGTTATGCATATGCGTATCTGAGAATGCAGAATAACACATGAAGCTATTACTTGACTTTAAACTGAGACTTATTGTCAAAATATTGTCCTCTGTTTGTGTGTGTGTCAGCGTGAAGAAGAGGAGAGGAAAGAGGAAGAAAAGAGGAGAGCGACAGAGGAGAAGCGACGTCTTGAAAGAGAAAGAATTTTGAAGGAGCGAAGAGATGCAGAAGAGAGAGACAGAAAAATGAATGAGAAACTACAGATGATTGAAGAGCAGAGGTACCAACAATGTTTCCTCACAAGAGGGCCGTTTACGACCGTGTTTGTTCTTAGGGAAAGAATGACAGAATAAAGCACATTTAAGGAGCAGTTACTGTAACTTGCAGTGGTTTCACATTGCAATAACATTGTGTTTTTAATAATTATTTTGTCTAATAGAAGAAAACAGGCAGAACAAGAGGAAGAGCTGCGCAAAAAGGAAAAATTCAGATGGGTACGTTAACATATACGTAGTATTTAAAAGCCTTGCATATTCATCCTCTCTAAGCTCTCTAAGCTGTGTAAACCAACAGTATTCATCACATGAAACATCAGGACACAGCAGTTGTATAATACTCCTCCTGGTTTGTCTGAATGTGATTTATATCCAGGTGTTATGCAGATGTATACCAGATTTATTATGAGGAGTTTAATGTCTTTATAGGGTCTTTGTGAACATCTGAATAATATTGTTATGTTCTAACAGGAGCAGCAGCAAAGGGAGCATGAGGAGGACATGAGGGCTCGTCTTCGAAGGAGCGAGTCTATAGAGAAAGCAGCAGTGAGTCGTTCCTACTTTTTAATGCCGGGTTGGATTTTTAAGAGGCCATTAGAACCCTTTCCTTCCATCCTTCCCTCCATTCCTGTAACCGCTTATTCGGTAATGGGGTCGCCGGGGGAACTGGAGCCTATCCCAGTAGTCAATGGGCGAGAGGCGGGGTACACCCTGGACGGTCTGCAGGCTGAAATGAATCAGTCATTGAACTATTTCCGTTGTTGTGCATTTCTTGACACGAAGGAGGCAGCGGCATTGGTGTCCCAACGCTCCATGAACCCTCGAGAGTTCTTCAGGCAGCTGTCTTCATCTTCATCAATAAGTCCCACCAGTCCTGGATCCTCCCGCTCCGGTATGACACCAATCCATGGCCTTCGAAGGATTTTGTTCATTCAGACTTGTGGATGCTCAGTGTAAGTTTATCTTAGAAATGATAGCAAACACTTTTGTTTCTCTGCAGGCAAGCCTTTCAGGCGATACCAGCGGAGCCTGACGGATACAGCTTTCATCTTCTCTAAAGCGGAAGAAAGTGCATCTTCGTCCCCACGCAATTCTCCCTTGGTGTCCCCCTTTTCACGAGCTCCTCCCTCACCCATTTACCGCACCATGTCACCGAGCCCTGATTTCTGCGCTGTCAACTCTCCGCAAATGCCCAGACTCCCCGTGTCACCGCCCACATCGCCTCTTCGACCAGCCCCCCCAGTTTCAGCGTTGCCCAGCGTTCCACAGTCCAACGACCAATTTCAGGCTGTTGCTCAGCCCAAATCTGCATCGCCCACAGAGCCCTCCGCGCCTCCGGCCTCTCCGAGCCTCTTGGCTTCTTTGTCTCCCTGTTTAATAAACAGCAACCCTGATCAGCTGAAGTCAGAGGCAACGTTACTCCCAAACGTCCCAACTCAGAAAGAGGGCTCAACCTTGGTTTTGGAATCAACACAGGTTCCTACAGCTCCTCTACCTGAGAGTCCACGGCCCAATACAGGTATGGTTTATCAAAAGGAAAAATATCAATAACTAAATATGAACTTGTTTTTTTCATGCAAAATGATCATAAATCATCATGTAAAATGTAAAGCTACTTGATTCATATTATATTGCAGGTTTTTTTAAATAGCAGCTTACAGATCCTATGTAAAGCCTGCTGAGGAAAGCCTCCTTAATCCTAACATAATTTTATGTTATTATTCATGTTAAATGCTTTATCAAATAGGATTATTAGATCCAAAATTGATCTGTTTTTTACAACATTATTGTCTGATCAACAGATCTCCACACGGCAGATTATGAGGAAACTGAGCTGGTCTCGGTCACTGGCCAAAAAGTACAGGCTGTACTGGTGGAGGAGGATGAAGAAGAGGATGGAAAGGAACACAAGGAAGATAAAACTGAAATTCAACTGGAGATAAATGCGGTCACTATCGAACCAGCACAGGCTGAGGCAGAGGAGGTAGAGGAGGAGGAGGAAAGAAAGGAGGGAGTGAGGAATGATGAGAAGGAGGACCATGAGAAGGTGAACGAAGAGGAGGAGGAAGAGGAAGAGGAAGAAGAGGAGGAGGTGGAGGGATCACATCAGGAAATTGAGCCTGTATCTTTTGAGGAACCAGCAGAGATAGCACAGGAAGAGGACGAAGATGAAGATGCAGAGGAGAATAACCAATCAGGAGACACTCAACCCTTTTTTGAGCATGCTGAGTTTTCAGAGAAAGTGGAGAAATCAGCGATCACAGGTAGCATCTGTGTTCTTGCATCCTATCACCCGGACTTGTGTCCCAGCATCATAAACGCTGGTTAGAAATGTTGCTTATTTCTAAAGAATTATATTTCATAAAGACTCATCAGTCAATATTTTCAGATGCCGAAGCAGTTCACCAACAAATCAAAGAGGAAACAGTTGTGGTGTCATCTAATGGAATCCCAAATGGAGATGCCACAGAGGACATAAATGGCACAGGTTTGGTAACAAATCAGTTTCTGCTGTAATTACAGTATATTTTATGTGCTGGTTTAACTGTTTTTGGTGGTTTTCCCTCAGCGAGATCTTTCAGTCCATCTGACACAGAGGGCAGCACACCTGAGTTCACTGTGTGCTACAGTCTGCTTGCTACCACAGAAGAAGAAGACATAATTGAGGACAGGGAGCAGGATATCTTAGAAAATGGACAAGAGGTGCTTAATCTACAAATATACAGTATATCGTGCTTGTGTTAGACTTGTGATCAAACCTGAATAACATTCATTTAAAACTTTGATGGGATTTTTAAAGAGCCCTTGTATTTTTAGAGGGGACAAAAATTTGTACTCATTAAAAACAAATCCATTCGATTATGTTGGATCAAGTTATTTCCTTCTTACTGGTGAGGAATACTTAAAAGCTAATATGTTGTTTCAAAGTCTTTAACATTATCAATAAATCCCACAGAAATGTAAAACCAACAAGGTCTTCTGTTCATTCTAATCTCGAGGGGTTTCAAGCTTAATAACATTCATACTACTGTGATACCTCATCCCTGGCAGGAGGATAAAGTGGATTTCTTGGGATAATTTTAAACAAAAAATGTTTTTAGGCAAATCTTTACAGTAACGCACTAGGCTGGTATGTAGAATCTAAAACTAAATAGTTCAAATGTAACTTAGCTGGACTAACGTGAAGCTTTTAGCATTTCACAGGGTGTGTGACAATTGACAATGAGTGAAAAAAGATAAAAACGAAATAAGATTAAAAAAAAAAACATTTATATATATATATTCATATATACACCTTTTTTACCTCTATTTTTCTCCCCACTCTAGGATTCAGCTGTGCAACATATGTGCGTCCGAGCGCTGTATGACTACCAAGCAGGTAGGCTGCCTTAGAGGATAATTGCCACACGTGCACTTGAAGTACCTTCATTTGCAATAATTACTCTGTGATTATCTGGTCTTCACCATGTTATCTTGTGGTTCCCACAGAGGATGAATCTGAGATCTCCTTTGAACCAGGTGACATCATCAGGGATGTGGAAACGGTGGACAAAGCCTGGTGGAGGGGGTGGAGCAAAGATGGCCGTCAAGGCTTATTCCCTGCCAATTATGTTGAGACCATATAGGCAGAGAGAGATACACTATACATAGGCATACGCATAGACACACACTCAGGGACAGCTTCTCCCCTTTCGTTTCTGAATGCTTTCATCTTAATCCTTCCACTGAAACTTTATACTCTCTATTTTGTAGGAAGAATAAAGGAACATGTGACTGTTTTGTAGAAAGCGTTAAAAAAAAAGTTTGACTCTGTTTTGATGTTTTTGTGGAAAACATAAGTATGCAGAAATTACAGGGTCTCATTTTCATATATGAGAAAGCAAAGACCTTGTTCCTGGACCAAAATAACTTATTTCTTTTGAAATACTGCGGAAATGTTGGTGGGAGAGATGACTTCACAACAGCAATGATCACAAACTTGCTCTTCTTCTAAGTAACACAAACATTTTTTAAGTGTATATTCTTGTTTTGATCCACACATAGAACAAACATTTCTTCGCTCGCCATTTGTATCTATGTACCAGATTTTAGTGTATAATCATCTTTGTGTATACCCTGCATTATGTTGTATCTCTGTATTCATTACTGACAGTCTCACAGCATGGCTTAATTACCCAAACCAGAACTGGAACACAACAACTGATGATGGTGGCATGCTCAACACCTTTGTAACATTTTATTGGGGATGTGGTGTATTTTGTTCCAACGTTAATTTCCTTCCAAACATTTTTAAGTTTCGTTTTGTTTTACTTTTGATGCTTTAAAAAAAGTAAATCTACAATGTTATCATACAAATATCATGATATGGATATCCCTCCTGTCCTTAAAACCCTCCAGTTTTAGTAACCTGTAATATCCTAATACTCTTCAGTGTATATAAGATTGTATAAAAACATCAACCTTTGTTTCTCTTTTTCTATTATTGGTTTTGGTGATATTTTATGCTTCATGCTTTTTTATATATTTTCCAGACTTATAAATACATAGCACATACGAAATTACACGCCTACAAATGTCCCTCTGCTACTTATTGACTGTAACAGTTTGCAACAACCAAGCAGTATTAGCAGTATTCCTATTTAGCTCCTAAAACCCGCATGTGATATTCATTTTCTATCAGATATTCTTAAATTTCATCATGTGACAGCAAATGTCCCCACTGCCTTTTGATGGCAATTCAGAACATTGAAAATGGTCAATAAAATGTTATGACAAATGACAATTTTAACAATCAGCACATGGCTTATTTAGTTCTTATTCACATTAGAGTGTTATTAGTTTTTAACGTATCTGATTAAGTCTTACTGGTAGATATGAATAATCATCCCTTAACATTTTTCTCTTATTGTGCCTCACTCTCATTATCCTACTGTAGTTTTGTATGTATACCCATAGGTGGAGACATTGCCTTTTTCCAATTTTCTGGAGACAGCGTTCTCCAGAGAGAGCTAACTGAACTGAACAGATTCCTCAGGACAAAAGGCTAAATATTTTGACAGGCAGAGAGGAGGCTCATTGTTGCACATATTTTAGTAGCAGGATATCCTGACATTTGTAAAGCTAAAAATTGCTAATGCTTTTACACCTTAAACAGGATTTTCCTTGGGTAATAATGATTGATTGAATATGACATTAATATCTCTTAACCATGCACCTGTAATACTTACAGGGTGGTGAGGCTACGGACTTATAGTGCCAGTTCAATAACAGTGTTTGGCAGATGAGCCTCTGTTCAGGAACAGAGAGGTAATGTCTGACATGGGTCTCATCCTCTTTGAACTGATATGTAGTGACAGACAAACTAAATCTATCCAGGAGACTGTTTTGTTCGAGTTACTCCAGAACGTTAATCATCCATGATATGTGTGAAAAGGTGATGAGCCTCTCATGAAATCTTAATTGGTTTGCAAGAGGAAGATTGCAAAAACCTTAAAATGAGCAAGATTGACTGATCAAAATAAGGAAAACGGATTATCAAAGTTTTAAAGCGACATTGGAAAGTAAAGGTGCTATATTGTGTAACATAAATTGTATATTTGTTTGCATAAGGAAGATAAATATAGTGGGGGTTAATATGAGAACAGAACAACATCTTTGCAGAAAGAACAGATAGGCAAATCAGTGTTAGCCCTTGTGTTCCCCTTCCTCTCACTTTTCCAGGTCCTTGTTCCCATGGTCATCCCCACACCTCAAGAGATTCCTTGTCTCTTTAGATTGTGCAGAATGATAAGGAGGCACCAGCTAATGTGCCAGTCAAATTTCCCTTCCCCTCTCCTTCTGTCTTTAGGCTGTTCCATTCTTCTGTGACTCTCATCAGTAACAAAATACCCATTTACTGTTGTGTTAACCCAACAGAGAGGTCCACCTCCCCCTCGACATTCCCTTTATCTCATATTTAACTGACAGACCTTATCTGACCGGTGGAAGGCTGACGAGAGTGGGAAGGCTGAGGTGAAATGGCGGTAGGGAAGTGCCATTCACTGCTGTGTTATCAGCACAATGCCAATGACAGAAACCTAATCTGACCTGGCTGCTGATGGCTTGTGGCTTATTGGCTGGGTCTCTCCTCTAAAGCAGATTCTGGCAGCCCCTGAGACACTGCCGCTAAGGGTAAGTGCAGACACACACATGTACCCACATAAAACACACATGTGCACACAAATGCTGATGCCCACTATTCTGAGTCCCCATTTCTGGCTTCGCTCTATTTGCCACTCCTCAACTCCTTCCTGTCATCGTCAAACTAATAGCTTGCTGCAACTTTTTGTGAGTATTTTATTTGGGAGAGGTGTCAATTTACGGGGAACAAAACTTTTACTACAGCAGTCTGACTAATTCTGACTCAAGCTTTACTTCTTTATTGTTTTGTTTTTTGTTTTTATTCATTTTCATTCTTAAAAAAAAAAAAGCTTGAAGGACAGGATCACTTCCTTTCATGGCTTCCGCATAACTTTGGACAAGAGGCCAATTTAATTCTCCTCCACTGGGAGACTTATAATGCCCTCAGAGCTTAGCTCTAGCAAAGGTTTAGCAGAGCTTGAATTGTGAATCATAAAACACACACAATGCTCCTGTTTCACTTCTTCCACGTTGAGTAAAAGATTAGTGTTTCTAAACACTGGGAAAGTGTGTGTCATTTTGTGTTTTTTCCTGTGGGGCAAACAGGAGGAGCAAGCAACGCTTTGGTAGGATCAAAATTAATGGAAACTAAATCCACTTCTGGTGCTCTTTTCTTTTGACACAGTTTCAAGGCTACAGTTATCTAGGAAGAACTAAACTGTTATCCAGTATAAATCAGCTTTGGCTGGGAGATAATTCCATGTGGTGTAAGTCTTGACAAAAACCTTTGCCTTTAAACATCTCTTCTTCTTGACATTGTCATTTTCCCTTTAAAGATAATCTTCAAAACCGCTGAAGCAGATAACGCCTCAGAAGCAACGGATGGCTCCAGCCAAGATTTTACTGTCAGTATAGAAACCGGCCCATTAACTTCTGAAGCCCACTTTGGCAAAGCTCCCTATCCTCTCAGTTGCTATCAAAAAGCTATTTTCCTCGACTAGTCCTACACAACCCTAACAATGGACAGAGGATTAGAACATCTTACTGTCTTGGAGCAAAAAAAAAAAAAGAAAGAAAAAAGAAAATTTAAAGTCTCTTTTATCAGTCATTGATGAAGCCCAGCTGGCAGCGTTTCCACCACAGGATTTTTCCTGACATGATTCCCAAGAGATGGTTTTTGCTTTTATGATACAACTCCTGCGCATGCCATCAGCCAACATGTGGCATTGTGATCCAATCAGAGATTTTCTTCTCCTTCAGATTGTGAATGGTTAAGTCTCCCAGTCTATTGTGAAGGAATCATCAAAGTGGTTGGAAACCACAAGGGAACATTGGTAGTTGTTAATTAATGCAACTGAATCTACAAATGCTTTATTTTCCGGATTCCAAAGGTAAAGAGAAAGGAAAGAAAAACATGCTTTCAGTCTTGCTACAGGCACGTAGGCTTAATACTCTTACCTCACATCTAGGACCTTATCCTGAACAAAGAAATCTGTTGTCTCTCTGAAAACCAGAAGTCTTTTTATTATCATTATAAACTCTGCTGTGGTTCCACAAGAAATGTCTTTCCCACTGTTTTAGGTTTTCTGGATTTTTGCTCATTCGGATCATTTATATTTCCATTCAGTAAACTGACATAAAACATGTTTTTCTAAAATGATTTTTCCTAGCCAATATGACTATGATTGAATTTGACATAGAGGGGGGACACGTCAAAGGCTGTGGTAGAATGTGAAAAGCCACCAAAGCAAAATTATGGCCTGCATAAATGACACGATCGTAAGTTTTTTACATTTTTATTCACATTGCTCTCAATCCAGCAACTGGATGTACAAACCTTTCTTGTGATATTGTTATGGTACACACTTTCATCACACCTACAATGGATCACATTTCTGAAAATATAAAGAGAGATTTTGCATGTGAAAATCTTTCAACTCGCAAAAGAAATTTGAGGCAGCTATCAGCCATGTAAAATTTAAACATGGTTATGGTCCTGAAGGTCAGTGATGGGGTGAGCTTTCTACTAGTCTAAAGATTAACAGGGTTGAAAGCCTGTCCCCTTGGTGACAAACACAGATGCACACACACACACACACACACACACACGTACAAGCTCCCCATTCTGTGTTTGAGACACACTGCCTGGGGCACCACAATCACTGCCACATGCTGTGACTTTCTCTTAGACAATTCATTTCACAAGTATATCTGAAGGAGTGATGCCGGTGGTAGTATTTGAGGGAGACAAATGTACATGAGTGTGTGTATGTGTATTTGAATGATGAAGACATGCCAGTGGCACTGTGAGAAAAGGACACATATTACATCAGATAGAGTTGAGACTAATTCCCAGCCTGGCCTAAAGACACCAAGCAAGATAATGTGAGACATCTTTTCTCACACCATTTAGGCTAGGCCCTTGGGGACAGAGTGTTTATTTCTTGGCTGAAATACATCATTCAGGCGCACAGTATATACTTAAGAAAAAAAGAAATATGCTGGT